TCTATCTATCTATCTATCTATCTATCTATCTATCTATCTATCTATCTATCTATCTATCTATCTATCTATCTTACATCAGAGAACTTATTGTTTCATATTTTATCCTAGAGCAAATTTCTCCAAAACTACATGTTAACCGTTCGCTTGTAGTGTTTATTAATTTGAAACTGGGTGCAGATCTTTTATTTATAAGGCTCCTCTTCTGTGGAACCAGGTAGCAGTTTCGATATGTGAGGCAGACACTCTGTCTACTTTTAAGACTGGAGCCTAAAACTGAACTGTAATTTTTGACAAAGTTAACAGTTAACTTGTCTCAGTTTATCCTGAGCATTATTTTTAGTTGTGTTACTGTAGGGTTAGGGTGCTGGAGGACATGAAGACCACATTTTCCTCACTCGACTACACTCCAATTCTCCAGTTTCACAATATTTGTTCTTTTTTTCTCTTCATAGTAGCTATGCCAAGTCTGTGACACCATCCTTGGGGAGAGGTATCAACGACCTCATGGTGACGATGCTAAAGTTAGGCTTGTTTCTCCTCTAGACATAACTATTGGCTGAGTTTTCACTGTGACTAACTGTATGTTTGCTCTTTCATCCTTTGGACTTGAAAACTTGCTGAGTCATGTCTTTTGCATTGATTCAATGACTGACAGACTCTATTCCTCTTGGATGAGCTTGTTAGGACAGTGGACAGTTGCTACATGAACAAAGCCATCTGGGGAGCTAGTCTATAGTTCCTTCTCTGCTCTTCCCACCCAATCCCTAGTCAGTCACACCAGAAGGCTGATCACACCAAGCTTGGTTCTGCTGAATATTTCCCCCTGATTAAGGGGAGTTTTCTTCTCCTCTGTCACTGCATTAATGCTCAAAATGAGAAATTGCTGCAAGGTCAATAACACAAAGCTAGCAAAGGTCCACTGTTGGTACAGGCTTATCCCAGAGGGAATAAGGCAACTCAATGCCTCAAATGCTATCTACGTTGTGTTGGTGAAGAGAACATTTTTAACTAACATGTCTGGATGTTTTGATTGAATTGACAGCTAATTATCTTGCTATATATAAGAATCCAAAATCAAAGCCACTGATGCCTTTACCTAGGAGTACAGTTCCCCCTTCCATTAGAAAGCACCCCTAGTCAAACTTCTTTTTCTACTTTCTGAATGGATTTACTCACAGTTAATGCAGCCAGTGATGACCCCATTTGCTTTTACTTCCTAAAGAAAGGACAGTTCATATTCATATTGGAATCTGGATCCCACGGAACTTTATACAAATGGAAAGAAATGGCTTGATTATTCTTGGAATGTTTCTTTGCTGTAAATTTGCTCCAATCTAAAAAGAACCTTATCTAAAAAACCCAAGAAAGGACAACCAGAACAATACCAAATCTGTTTATTATGCTCTATTTGATGCAGCATGGAACCTGTTAAAATCAGCCCGCATGCCTGAAAACACACAAAAAAAAATCAGGATTCTTTTAACCCACTAAAAGTGATCTGACTTCTCAGAACTCTCCACACACTAAGGAGAGCTACAGATCAGCATATTGATCCAAACGGATGGGAGGCTTTGAAAAAGCAGGGGGGTTAATTGATTTTAAGGGTTTGCTCCAAAAAAAAAAAAGTCCTTGAATAACAGATCCAATGGTATAAAAAATAAATGCTATTCTATACAGGCAGTGTTGTTGTATACAGGGGAAATACTTTATACACAGTCAGGGTAAAAGGGGACTTTACATTTGGGATTTTTCCATAAAAACCTCCAGAACAGGAAGAAACGTGTTAATAATCGCACTCCTGCACAGAGAGGGGAGTTAGAGCTTGGATATAAAATCTAAGTTTGGGTGCTTTTCATTTTAAAAAATAAACACCAGTGCGTGCCATATATACATAAACAGATTAAAAAAGGCATAAAAATCAACATGAACTCGCACTTGATTTTGCACAGAGAATGGTTTCAAACAAAACTGTTGCCATCATCATTATGGAAAGGAAGGGGTGAATGCAGGTTAAACCTAAAAACCTGAAAGTGACTGAATAAAAATCACCAAAGCTTTTTAGATTGACCCAGTTGGTTGGTGAGAAGTTTAGACTCTTTTCTGGCTTTGGTAAAAATAAGAACCAGAATAAAAGATGACTTTATTTATTCTGATTCATCCCTCCCAGAGGCCATTTCCTGAGCATCTCCTAAATTGGGTCTGATGGTTATGCTGGAAAGATCGGTTCTGATCCATTAAAACATGCTGGAGTTAGACTGCAGGATGATTTGGGACAGGAATGAGTTTGCAAGATGTCCCTATGTAGGTGAGACAACAAATAAATGATTTAAGGATAGTTTTGTGTGCTGGTATTACAAAATATATATTCTCTATATACAAGGAGTCACCAGGCTCCTGACCTGATCAAAAAATGGTTCTTTTAGTTTCATTTTCCTGGAGATGTTCTGAGATCATTCACTCACACTAAAAACAGTCACATTCACACTTCCAGGCCCACAGGAGAGCTAATAAGCAGATATCTGTACACGATGTAAAAAATATCATTCCGACTCATTTTTTTTTTTCTTGGAGAAGCTCAAAGTCAAAGTTCTGTTCCTCATCTTATCTTCTGGACATGGAGCTTTAGTTTGAAGCACATCGAGACGATCCAGCATCGTCTTTCAATCACTCTGCAGATCCCATCCGTTTCCTGCTCTTCTCTAACCCTCTGCTTCAGCGACGGCTGCAGGAGCTTCTAGAATGTTTCTGGGTAGATTGGGTCAGAGGTTGAGAATGGGCACATCGAAGAGGTCGCAGAGGCCTTCGGTTTCATCTAGGTTGTAGATATAGTCATGGTCGCTGGGTGGGGGCGACAGACGGAGGAGCGGCGAGAACACTGAGGACGAAATATGCAGAGAAGTTAGAGCGCCAGCATTCACCATCTTCTCAGACACCATATCAATCCATCCATCCTAGAAAGTAACCTGCATTGGAAGAAGGCCTACAGTCCTGGTAACAGCAGCGAGCCCAACACTAAACATTTCAGGACCTTTAATTCCACCTTTGACCTTTACAGCTCACCTGAACCAACAGATTTATATGGTGGTACCCTTTTCTAACAGGGATGTTGCTGTGAAGTTTGTGTTAAACAGCGCCAGTCTTCGTTTCATTATAAGTGGCTCTGGTTTATTAGTGTTTTTAGATCTGCAGATAGCTTCAAAACAGTCAGAGGATCTCACTGTTTGAAGGTATCAGTCAGGGAAAGGCAGCAAAGCAATCATCAGAATTGGACCCACCCAGTACAAGACATCCCTTTAAAATGGAGGGAAATTGATCCTTCATCACACATCAGTGGACCAGGGGGCAACATGAAGGCCTTCCTGACTAAAGCCGACATCCTGACCTGGCTAAACTGCAGGGAGAACATCATCGCTACAGTGAAGCATGGTAGTGGCACAATCAT